GAGCCGGTGACTGCCGCGGCCGACGCGCCCACCGGGGCTCTGCCTTCACACACGTGCGCCCCAGGAAGCCGGTGCGCCCGCGACCGGAAAAGAGAGTGCGCCGCTTTAAAACGTCCCCGGAACCCGAGGCCGCGTCCTTTTCGCCCGTGCCGGACTTCCGCCCAGCCCGGAGGGCGACATCTCTGCGGGCTGCGGGTCAGCGAGTGGGTGGCCTCCCAGGAGCTGGGTGCCAGGCCGGCCGCGGCCGCTCGCGGGACCCGGCGCTACGGCCAGCCGCACCCTGCGCTGGCGCATCCTGGGACCTCTGTCAGGCCACACTCTGCCCGGGCCTGTGCTGGTGCCCCAGGGCAAGGCGTCCCCACGGGCGACGCAGCTTCGTCCCCCAAAGGCCCTTCCCGGGTTCAAGGGTCCCAGCAAGCCCGTGTTCTGTTTCCTTCCCACAGCCTGTGGAAACTGTTTCACCAATCCCTTTTCCGCCTTCCATGGAAAATCCGAGGGGACCTTTAAAAGTTGAAGGAAAACGAACAAAAGTATGATCAAAAAATGATTCGGGTAGTTTTTTAATACACATTTTCCAGGAACCTTTTGAAGACCTTGAGCGGTGCCCAGCAATCTGCGGGCTACCAGGGCCGTCTAACCCTTGGGGGGCTCTAGGAAGCATTAGCCTAGGACTGCGGTTATGCCCCATGCACCAGGGTTACGGCCCACCACACATTCGGATTTACAGTAAGCAAGCTGTGGCGCCGTAGGAGGACTAGAAGAGTTCCACAGTGACTCCGAAGTCCCCAACCCCAGCGTTCTGCAGTTGGTGATGTGAATGAAATCTAGCCTGCAGCATTTTAACCCCCTTCTTGTCAAACTTCCACCCAAATAAATTGTGGCTAGTACTTTTCGTGTTCAGTCTCCAAATCTCTTGACCTTGCTATTGTTTTTAAAAATTAATAGAGCTATTATCAGGATCAGCAGATGGCATAATGGTAACATCGCTGGATTCTCAGGTAATTGACAGCAGTTCGAAAGGCTTAAAACTCAAGCCAGGGGTGGGGGTGTGTGTGAGAAGGGATTGCAGTATGGCCATCCCCCCTTGGAGAGGGGGGTTGATTTCTGTCTGTCTCTGTCTCTCTGGTGAGCACACGTGCCCTATAGCAAAAATCTGCCTTAAAAAAAATGATACATTTCCCTATGTTGGAAAACACTGTAGACTTGTTAAATAGAAAAAGTGAAGTATTTAACAGTGTGCATAATAAATCCCACTTAGAATAAAATGCCCATTCATGTGTAGAAGACATCTGTAAGGAATCTAAGTGTACTGTTTATAGTTCACAAGATAAGGATTGAGTTGGGTTTTTTTTTTTTTTGGAGAGATTTTTCACTGTAGGGCGCGTGCGCTTGCCAGACAGACAGAGACATAGAGACAGAAAGCAAGAAATCCCCCCCCAGGGGGGATGGTCACGCCGCAATCCCTTCTCCTCCATTCTCCTCTCGGGATCTTGGGCACGCGCCTGGCGTGAGTTTTAAGCCACCGGGTTCGGGACACGAACCGCGGTTGACTACGTGGGAGTCCAACGACATAGCCATTACGCTAACTGCTGGTTCCCGAGTTGGGGGTTTTTGAGATCAATGCATAATCTAACCTCCAGTACCACAGAATGGGACCTCATTTGGAGGTTTTTACAGAGGCCTTTTTTGGGAACTTACAGTGCAATCAAGTTAAAATGAACTGCTAGAGTGGGCTCTAGTCCACCATGAGTGCTATCCTGATTAAAAGGGGAAACTGAGACACAGAGATAGGCCAAGGGATGATGCTATGAAGATATGGGGAAGCCAGCCGTGCTCCAGCCAAGAAGAGCAGCAGGAACAGATTCTTCCTCACAGTCCTCAAGCAGAACCAATCCTACCAACACAGTGAATTCTGACTTCTGGGCTCTGGATCTTTAAGGCAATAAACACATTTAGACCATTTAATTTATGATATTTTATTATGGACAAGAGACTTTTAATAGTTCACAGAAAAGCAGAGTTAAAGTATGTTTATTTATTTTTTTTATTTATTAATTCACTTTACACCATCACAACACACAAATGAATTTTCCATCCAAAATACCCTGTGCATTGGCTCAATCAAGTACATCCACATATATGTTCTCAGCAAATAATTTTCCAATTCTTACGTCCTGCATACCTTGCCCTTTGTCTTGCCATCCCTGATTCCCCATCCCCCACCCTCTGCTATGTCCCACCTTTCCCCCCCTTTTTCCCTGGCATCCATGGTTGTCCTCCATACCTTCCTCCCCCCCC